TTACTCACGGACGAGCTCGGCACTGCTAGTAAGAAGGGCGTTGCTGACGACTGGAAGGTCATTCAAAAGTGGCTGGGGACGTTCATCATGAGTCCGGCCTTCGGTAATAACCTTCATTTATGTTTGCCCTTTGGTATTATTCCGGTTGTGGTTGACGAATCAGAAGTTAGTTCGATAATCGCCTTTTCATTGGCGTCGCGTGAATACGCGAACTGTTTATCGAACTTTGCGAGCGACGTCACCTGCGCCGAACAGTCTATCAATATCTTGAGAGATCTTAACGATCTGGGCATTCCAGAGTCTTCCGACTACGCACAGTTTCACATCGACCTGCAGTTCTGCGACAGTGTCGCAAACTTTTACTGTAAAGTTTACTGTGCGAAATACTTTACACTACTGAGAGAGTGCATTTTCGCCGCCAGTGAAGAGCAATTTATCCGTTCGCTGTCTAGGTGCGAGGCGTGGCAGCCGACCGGCGGAAAATCGGGCGCAACTTTCTTTCGCACGTTGGACGGCAGGTTCATTTTGAAACAGATGTCACGGTATGAGGTACAGTCTTTCATCAAGTTTGCGCCTGCCTACTTTAAACACGTAGCGTCGGTGTGTCTCGGGAAGAAAGCGACGTCGCTGGTGAAGATCTTCGGCGTTTACCGTGTCGGCTTCAAGAACACACAGAATGGCACTGCCTACAAAATGGACCTGGCTGTCATGGAGTACCTGTTCTACGACCGCAACATCAGCGAGATTTACGATTTGAAAGGTTCGTTGCGTAATCGATGGGCATCCGAGAAGCAGCACCAGACGGACATTGTGCTACTGGACGAAAACTTGCTTGAAAAGGTGTGCACCGATTCATTCTATCTACATCCTTTTTCCAAACTTACTCTGAACGCAACTATCAACGGCGATACGAAACTGCTCAGCGAAAATCACGTGATGGACTATTCGCTTCTGGTCGGCATCGATGAGGAAAAGTCCGAGTTAGTTTTGGGCATCATTGATTATCTGAGGACTTACACGTGGGACAAGAAAATCGAAAGCTGGGTGAAAAGTGTTTCTGTTTCTGGCCAACCGCCTACCGTCATTTCTCCTGAATTGTACCGGCAACGGTTCGTTGAATCAATGGACGTATACTTTCCCGTTTCGCCGGATCAGTGGTCCGTTACTTTCCCCATTGAACTGTGACACCTTGTATTATTGTAATTTGACTTTTTATCGAACGTTTTAATTAGCAGTCGGTCGTTACCAGATTATGTTTATTTTGGTCAACCATTCGTTTCTGACTGCCACTGCTTCTCGATTTTTCATTCTAATCATCATAGAGCTTTCACATCAATATTTAGCATATGTTGAACATAACTTTTTGTTCAATATCTTGTCGGCGCTTTCTGTTTTTTTACTTGTCGATGACATCTTGCACATTCCGTATGTTTCAAATTTCTTTATTATACTTCAATTATAACTGTTTAACTGTTCTGCACACTTCTTGTATGCGCAGAATGTGATTAAATGAATCAGTAATGTCATCAAAACTGGCGCTGTTCATTCAAACGATATGATATACGCAATAATTGGTGAAAGTTGCAAGAGCAGACATTCTTTGTTCGACTGAAATGTGTAAAATTTATTACTTCGTTTGCTCTGTGCCTAATGATCGCAGACTGCGTTGTTCATGTTATCCACAGTTGGAATGCTTGATGTCCATTTTTCGATTGCGTCAGAATAGTCAGGCGAACTCCTTACTCAAGGGAATTAGTCATTTATAAAAGAAAGTTTACGCCGCACTTGGGATCTGAACCCAGCAGCTCTAAATTACGAAGCCACCTACTAACTCACTGTACATAAGGCGTCCATATTGTTCCATTGTCAGTGACTTTCTAACTGATTTTTGGCTGGTTACATCGAATCAGCGCAAGGTGAATTACTTACTCAGTGAAATTAACTTTTGATTTGAGTAGTTTATTACTGGAAGGCATTCGAACCCAGCACTTCAAAAGTGCAAAACGAAACAGCCTACGGCGCCACTTCACTCCAAAATATATGCCATCGCTGGGGAGCTATTCAGACGAAATTAAACTTATTAACCTTCTTTAATAAGAAAAGGTTCAATCACAATAACAGAAACCAATTTGAGGTTGTAAATCATAAATTTGACAACTGAACACTTGTTTAATGCGAGAGATGCGGATTTATCATTATTTAATTTGCTTAATAAAGCATTGACGTTTTGAATCATACTTGACTGCTTGAACGTCGATAAGGCTTGAATGTTAATTAAATTTTATAGCAGAGCAGTCGTAAAATAGACGAGGAGCATGGAATTAAAAGAAAATCCAGAAATTTAAATGGAAAAATGTATATTTCAGAACCCTGTTCGCAAAAAATGGCGCAGCTTTATGAGCGTGAAGGGTACTAATAATTCAACTCTTTAGAAGTGAGATTCTGTAACCGTAGCAAATTGTGTCGCTTTCCCTAAACAGATGTGAACCGTTTGAAAATGCTTCGTTTAATCATATCTAGTAATCACATTAAGACATTGACATTATGCAGCGTATTAACATTTGCCGAAGATGATTAAATGATACTTTGTGGATGTCATAATTTTTTCGGTCTAATATTTAAAATTCTTAGGCAAAATTATTAATGCAATAGTTTTAAAATCAATAATTGAACATTGTTATAAAAATTAATAGCATGTTCTTTCGGATGCTGCAGATCTCTACAAAATGCCAGCTAACAAGTAGCTGAAATTTAAGACCCTTTTTTATTTCAGTTCTCTTTATCAAGTTTTATTCGAATATTCCATCCATTTTGATAGTTACGTTTCAAAGTAACCGTAAGTTTTTCAATAATAGGTATTCCTCAAAAATGGATTCGGGCATTGTTTCTAAATTATGGTTTACAAATATTATCTTATTTAAACAAATCTTCATTTAGTCATTTAAATAGTGGATAATTCGGATGCAAGGGGTGCTTAACGACCGTCAATTTCTGGCAAGTTCAGCGATGTTCCATCTCAAGGTAGCGAGCCACCTGTGAGTAGTCAGGTCTGAAGTAGTTACCCCAAATTTTTTGGTTGGCGAGCTCTGTTTTGGTGCCTGGTCCTGGTACCTATATGAACTGTTTCAGTATTATTGAAAGAATGCAGATAAATTTTCAACTGAGACGTGTGATTAAAACGTCAAACATTCGCAATTTAATTATGTAACAGGGAAGCCATGTTATGTTGATTTTCCAGCTTTATCTCCTGCTTGTTGATTTTGCTTTTCGACTGTTTCCAAGGTCTTCCGTCCATTCTCACCACTTTGTTTCCTTGTGAATCATGCTGTCATCCCTCATTATTACGTGATTCTTTAGTATTCTATGTTCAGCAAGATCAGATCAGCTGTCGTCTGCTGTACTGTGACAAACTTTGCGTTCACGGTCCGAGTTCTTTTGTTTTCTATCGGTTTGTCCATTGTAGCTTTCATTGCCTAACTGTTTATATAGTACATAAACTCCGGCACTCCTCTGTTTGGTGTAATGCCTCTACCACATGAGGCTGCCAATATGTTTGGGGATATGCAAATTGTGCGACCCAATATCGTTCCAGATCTTCCACCGGATTTAATAATGGTTGCAGACACCCTGAATTCGAACAGTCGATCAGTATCAATTGCAATCTGTTCTTTCGAGAAACAAGGAGTTGTCAAACATTGCTTCTTACGTTTCCGAACCTGTGCCAGAGTGTGGTTCGGGGGGAAATATCGAGTCTGAAGCAGAATCCTTCGATACACTTGCCCCAGGTTATTCTTGGCCTTCCCCAGGGTCTTTTTTTTAGGATTCTTTGGCATGTAGTAGCTGTTTTGTCGTCCTTTTTGAAGGCATTCACTACACGTGCGGAACTATCGCAGCCGTGACTTCTCAGTCTAGAGCAGTTGTGCTAAACACCAAAGCTCTCTTGGATTTCTGTACTCCGAGTTATCTCGAGACGACTGAACAAG